AAAAAAAAAAAGACTCCAAGGTCATCCCGGCCACTAGGCCCCCGTACCTGCCGGACACACCACCTGACAGGTCCATGCCCTGGCTCTCTTGTCACCCGTGCCTCAGCTCAAGTCCCCTCCTCAGAGGACCCCTCCTCGAAGCCCCTGGAACATCCCCGCCTCACCTCACCCTGTCTGCTTTCAAAACAGCACCTTCTGCCTTCTGGAATCATCTTGTGGACTAACCTGCTGGCGTGTAACACGCCAGACACTCCCCAAGATGGGGACTGTGTCTCCCTGAATCTCCCGGCACCAAGCACAGGACCCAACCCAGAGTAGAGGCTCAATGAACGTGTATCGGTGAGAAGATGGAAGAAGCGGGAGGAAGGAGGGAGTCTGGATGCTGAGCCAGACTTCTGGCTTTGAACCCACTTGTCAACCCAGCGATGCCAGCAGAAGAGCCAGGTGGAGCCCGAGCTGTGAGGCTGACAGGCCCTACCTCCCCATCGGAGCAACAGGCCGAAGACGCCATGGGGAGCAGGCACCTGCACAGGCGCACACACCTGAAGGATGACGCCAGGCAGCTGGGTGAGGGGCAACACCAAGCTGGTGAAAACCTGCTGCTGCCACGTCACGCTACCGCTGGACACAGACGGCTGCTTTTGATCCCTATTTTTAAAAAGTCCTGGACTTCCCTGGTTGTCCAGTGGTTAAAAATCCACCTGTCAATGCAGGGGACACAGGTTCGAGTCCTGGTCCGGGAAGATCCCACATGCCGCGGAGCAACTAAGCCAGTGTGCCACAACTACTGAGCCTGCGCTCTAGAGCCCGCGAGCCACAACTACTGAGCCCGCGCTCCTAGAGCCCGTGCTCTGAAACAAAAGAAGCCACCACAATGAGAAGCCCGCGCACTGCAACAAACAGTAGCCGCCGCTCGCCACAACTAGAGAAAGTGCAAGCACAGCAATGAAGACCCAGCACAGTCAAAAAAAAATACAACAAAGACAAAAAAAAATAAACTCCTGTGTTCTTTTCCAATATAAGGTCTATAGCCTGATCCCAGGCACAAGAGATAGTGCTTTCTGCTCAACACACTAAGACTTGGGTTCAAAATCAGGTTCTGGATCGCTGCACGATTCACAATGGCCAAAAGGTGGAAACACCAAGAGTCCATCCACAGATGATGGCTAAACACAATGTGGTCCATCCACACGCTGCCATGTGACTCAGCCTTCAAAAGGAAAGTGGTTCTGACACATGTGACAACACGGATGAGCCTGAACACGATGCTCAGTGAGAGAAGCCAGACACAGAAGGACAGATACTGTCTGATTCCACTCATGCAAGGTCCCTAGAGAGTGAGATCCACAGAGACAGGAAGTAGATGGTTAGGGGCCAGGGGCTGGGGAGTGAGTGTTTCATGGGGACAGAGTTTCAGTTTGGGAGGATGAGAAAGTTCTGAAGATGGATGGTGGGGACAGTTGCACAACAATGTGAATGTACTTAATGCCACTGAGCTGTGCACCTAAGAAATAGTTAAAACGGTAAAGATTATGTTATCTGTATATTACCACAGTAAAAATATTTTAATAGAGTAAAAACAAAATCAAATGCTGGGACATCAGGGTGGAGGGTCAAAGCCATTTCTCCACAGCCCCTCAGACGCTGAGCTCACTGGAGACGAACGACAGTCGTGAGGATGCCCAGGACAGACACGCACTCGCCAGGGCCACCTCCTTCACACTGGCGGCACGGCGGCTGCAGGTGTGGTGACTCCCTGAGCCACCTGGCCTGACCTCGCACGCGCCCCCGCGTCTCAGTGTCCAACTGCGCGCTGGCCGGGTACACCTCAAAGCCAGAAGGGTGCTGCAATGCCCCTTTCCACGGGGCAAAGGGGCCCAGCACGGTTACAGGCTTCCCAAGGTCACACGGCCAGAAAGGGCAAAGCCGGGGGTCAAAGCCACACTGCTGACCCCGACGATGTGTTCTCACCCCGCTCCACCAAGCCTCTGAGCCTCCTCGGGCTCCACACGGCCTCAGACACCCAGGGGCATCTCTCCCGGCCACACAGCTGAAGGGCCTCGGTCAGGCCACATGGCACGACTGCTGCCCAAGTGTCCATGTTCTCAGAGTCCATCCCCTGGTCTGATAAGTGACCCGATGCGCTGGACCAAGACGGCCCCGAGGCGAGAGAGCAGCTCAGAGACCCAGGGTGACCGGGAGGCAGGGACAGTCCCTTCTAAATTACGTACCTGCACTGCCCATGAGTTCCTACTGACCGACTCTGGCCAGAAGGCACTGCAAAGACACCATACACGAAGCCAGCGCTTCCCAAGTTGGGGGACCCCTGGGACCGAGTGGGTGGGGCCTCGGATGCTGCTCAGCCCCCCAGCACCCAGGACACCCCATGGTGTGTTCACTCTGGTGTCGTTCACCCCACGACAGAGAACAATCCGGCCCCAAACGTCAGCACTGCTTGGGGACAGACCCTGGTCTGGCCCAATCTCAGCAGCCCCCCCAATCTCTTCTTTCAAAAGCATCAGATCGGGTATTGTTTCCCTCCTAAGACTGACCACTGGCCAGAACCCTCCAGTCCCGCCACCCAGCCCCCCTCCCCTGCCCTTGTCCTCAAGAGGCCCTGGCTACTCCAACATGCCTGTGGGTCTAAGCTTCTGCACAGGTCACTCTGCCTGCCTGGGATGCTGCCCCAAGGCCCGCCTCAGGTGGCAGGTTAATGCCACCTCCTCCAGGAAGCCTTCCTCCCTGCTCCTCTAGGGGATAAGCGCCTCATGCATCTCCAGCCCAGCCCACTTAATCGTTTAGTATGACCAGATCCCAGGCCAGGACAATAGCCCATCCTCTCCCACACCGGACCTCCAGGCATCTAAGAGGCTGGAGAGGACCAGTGCATGGCCCCCAAGGAAAGCAGGCGCCGACCTGTTGAAGGCACAGCAGAGGGCCGGTGTGGCTGGAGGTTCGGGACGATGGCAGGGTGGGCAGTGGCTGGGCGAGGAGTTTGCGTTGGATTCCGGGGCACCAGGAGGGTGGGGAGCCGGGAGCGAGTGATGGGCGCCTGTGATTAAGGCTGGGGTGCTACTGTAACCCAGGTCGCCCGGAAAAGAGACCCTCAAGCCCCTCGAAGGGCCGGGGGCGGGAGCTGCAGAAGCAAAACCGGCAAGGCCAGGTTGGCAGCGGGGGTCCGATCACCCCTCCGGGACCTCCCATCCGGGGCCCTCAGTGCCCACTCACCTTGCACACGGTGTGCTGGCACACGGTCGTGATCGGGCGGTACACCAACTCCTGGCAACAAATACACTGGAACGCCTCCTCTACTTTGCTCAGGAATTTCTGGAAGCGGAGGAGAGGGTGCATGAGCCCGGCAAAGGCTCAGTTCCCCAGAGTGAACGAGCACGACGGGTCCCCAGACTCCCTGTTTAGCCCTCGCCCCAGCCCGAATCTCATTCTCTGGCACCGGAGCACACGCAGGCTGGAGATCAAGACCGCACTCGATCAGCGCTTCTCTCGGCACAGAGCCCAGCCCTGCGACACACAGCACCGCCTGCCTGCTGCCCACTGCTCAGACCCCGGGCTCCAGCGGCGGATGAGACAGAGAAATGCCTGCCTTCTTGGAGCCTGGGGCCCAGCGGGGAAGACCAGAGATTAAGCAGGTGAAAGACAGAAAGGTCACAGCAATGCTGGGGAAAGGACAGCAGGGAGCCCCGAAAGGAGGGCGGTCAGAGTCCCACTGTGGAGAAGGTGACCTGTCAGCAGAGAGACCCGAAGGACGTGGGGCGGCTGAATCACAGCCTCCTAAGATGTCCACATTCGAATCCCAGGACCTGTGGACGTGTCACCTCATGGGGCAGAGGGGACTTCGCAGGTGGGGTTAAGGCCCTTGAGACAGGGATGACCCTAGATTCCCCGGGGAGCCCAACGTCATCACAGGGTCCTTATAAGAGGGAGGCGGGAGATGCTGCACTGCTGGATACGATAGAGATACGAGGATAGAGGATGGGGCCGCGAGCCAGGGATGAGGTGCCTCCAGAAGCTGGAAAAGGCGGGAACCGATGCTCCCCTGGAGCCTCCAGAAGGACCAGCCCTGCCCACACTTGGATTTTACCCTTAAAGGCTCACTTGTTAGGGCAGCCACAGTGATTTCATGCCGAAGGGAGACTGAGCCAGGAGGGCTGGGGTGGAGGGTACTTCCCCAAAGAGAAACCCACAAGGGCAGAGGCCATGCAATGGCATGACCAGGAGAAAGAGTCCAGAAGGAGAGGACGTCAGCAGTAACGGGCCGCTCGCCCAGGGCTCAGAGGATCTGGGTTTGACCCTGACCGTGAGCCATGGAGAGCCAATCCCCACCAGGCAGGGGCAGCCAGAGGACGCTGAGCCACTCACTTCCAGTGACCCATCAATGTCACTCACCCGACTAAGGCAGGAGGATCAAAAAAAATACAGCGCCGGTTTGGCAGTTCCTCAGAAATTTGAACACAGAATGACTTTATGATCCGGCAATCCCACTTCTGGGTTTATGCCCAAGAGAATTGAAGACAGGGCCGCAGAGACTTGCCCACCTGTGTTCACAGCAGCACTGTTCACAACAGCCAAAAGCTGGAAGCAACCCAAGTGTCCACTGAGAGATGATGGATAAACAAATCCCATCTGTACAGTGGAATATTACGCAGCCTTAAAAAGGAAGGAGAGTCTGACACCTGCCACAACACGGATGGACCCTGAGGACATGATGCTCAGTGACAGAAACCAGACACAGAAGGACACACACTGTCTGATTCCACTCATGTGAGGTCCCCAGAGGAGTCACATCCACAGAGACAGGAAGTAGATGGTGGGGGCCAGGGGCTGGGGGAGGGGCTGGGGAGTCAGCGTTTCACGGGGACAGAGTTTCAGTTTGGGAAGATGAGAAAGTTCTGGAGACAATGGTGGGGATGGTTGCACGACAGGCTTAATGCCACTGAGCTGTGCACTTTAAATAGTTCAGACGGTCAGTTTCATGTTTTCTCTATTTTATCACAATGGAAAGGAGGAGGCCCCTGCCAGGCCCGGGGGAGGGGAGGGGAGGGGAGGGGGCTCACCGGCCCGTCCTTGAGTGACTTCAGGATCTCCGCCCACAGCTTTGTGTTGCTCTTGTCCTCCTTGATGAGGCCGCTCTGCTGGGTGGTGAGGCTGTAGGGCTCCACCTTGGTCTTCTTGGGTGCCCCTCGCGAGGACCCGTCGCCCCCCCCCCCCCCCCCCCCCGAGCACGAGATGGGGTCCCGAGTATGAGGACGGCCGCGGAGACACCCACCAGCCGACTTGCTTTTCCGCTTGCCCTTCCTGGGGGCCGCGAAGCCCTCCTCCCCGTCGTCCTCATTCTCCAGGGCTCCGCTCTTGCTGTTTTCCTTCCCCTTCTCCCTCCTGGCCAGGGCCTCCAGGTAGCCTTCCGGGTACTGCGAGGAGAAGACAGGACGGTCACCCCTACCCGGTCCCCGGCCGGGCCCCAGAGATGAACTCTGTGCTCCCTTGGCCTCACCTCAGAGGCCTGCACCAACTTAACCCTGGAGCAGTAACTAAGCACAGAAACTCACAGGAACAAACGTTAACGGCACAGCGGCAATGAGCGAGATCACGCACGGTAGAGGCCCACCACCAGATCAAGCAAAGAAGACAGTCTTTTTCCTTTTGTTTTATTTTTTGGGTTTTCTTGGCCGTGCCCCGCGGCTGGTAGGATAGGATCTTGGTTCCCTGACCAGGGATTGAACCCTCAGCCTCGGCAGTGGAAGCGTCGAGTCCTAACCACTGGATGGCCAGGGAACTCCCAAGACAGTCTTGGCATCTTTCCATTTCGATGAGAAGTAGGCAAACTTTTCCAGCCAGGGGCCAGGCAGTAAGTTTCGGGCTCTGTGGGGACAAAAGCCAGCCCAGCCCCTGTGGGATTGAATGGGCGTGGCTGGGCCCCAGGAAGACTTCGTTTACTCACCACCGGCCCAGGGCCTTAGCTCCACAACCCGATTCTGATGGGTCTTGGACTCCTCTGAGCCCCATCAGGCATTATCTAATTAGAAATGGGGTTCTAAGGCACCTACAACCACATCCGATTCTCCAGTGTTTCATCAAGAAACCCTCAAGCTTTTCTAGCAACACAAACTTGCAACGAAGACAGTTCTAAATAGAACATCCTCCTCTCACCAAACAGTGACATGCCTGACCCACCGCTGTCTCTCCCCAGTTCCTCCGCCTCTAAGTCCCTGTGTTTGTGACCACCTAGAGGGGTGGGACAGGGAGGGTGGGAGGCAGACGCAAGAGGGAGGAGATACGGGGACATATGTGTACGTATACCTGCTTCACTATGTTATAAGGCAGAAACTAACACACCATTGTAAAGCAGTTATACTCCAATAAAGATGTTAAAAATAACAATAATAAATAAATAAAATAAAATAAAATACAGTTCCCTGTGGAACAACCAGTGTGTTCAAAAGGCAACTCTTTGTGGCCTCTGGGGGGTGGGGGGTAGGTGCTATCAGACTCTTAACAGCAATTAAGATTCCTTAAATAGTCCCACCACGACTTATCAGCTGGAAATCGGATCACCAGGAGGAACAGAAAACACCATAATTATAGTGCAAAAAAGCCATACTCTGCACGCACTGGCTGAACTCTTTAAGATGGAGGACTCTGCTGCTATAAAGAGGTGAGTGATTGCTCCGGGGGATCAGTCCACCCTATCTTTACATTTAGACCTTGCTCTATTCTATATTTAGACCAATTTTATTGGTTTGTCTGCTTTGGGGGTAGGGAGAGGTGAGGGACAGACAGGAGAAAGAGAGATGGGGGACTTCCCTGGAGGTCCAGGGGTTAAGACTCGCCTTTCAATGAAGGGGGCACAGGTTCAATCCCTGGTCAGAGAGATCCTGCATGCTGCACGGTTTGGTCAAAAAGAAACAAAAAAACAAAGAGACAGGGAAGAGGGGACGGGAGGGGACTGGCCAAGAGAGGAGACCAGACTCCAGATTGATTTCGGATAAGCTCTTCAAACACAGCTCAGATAAGGAAGCCCAGCTCTCAGCTCTAACATCACGAAAGCAAAGACGCAAACCTGCCTGACCTACCCCTCCCCTATATCCACTGGCTGAAGGACAGGGATGGTACAGCCAGCGAGGTGTCACCAGTTCACAGCCGGGAAATCGTCCGGGATGAGAAAAACCCCCAGAGAGCACGGCTCCCGGCTCAGGCGCTCCCCGTCCAGGCCCCGGGCACGAGCTCCAGCTGTGAGCACAGGCCTGGACGCACCTGCATGGTCAGCCCCAGCTTCTTGCTCCGGTCCTTCCCCTCCTTGGTCCAGGGCCCCGGCTCGACGTCATCCCTGCGCAGGAGGAAGCGCCAGACCAGGAAGCCGGACTTGCCCTTCTCAGGCCAGTACCTTACGACCTGTGGGAGGAAGCGTGGGGTCAGTGACCCGGGGGCCAGGGGCGGGGGGCAGGCACGGGGGCCCCCACTCACCTTGTAGATGCCGTCATACCGGTTGCCCTCAATGGGGGCGTACTTGCTGTGCTTGCGGCCCTTGACGTTCCGCACCACCCGGACCGGCTTCCCCGACCGCCAGTCCTTGGCCTCGGCCCCTTTGAGGTCGTTGATGGGGGCAAAGCAGTTCAGAGCCAGCGCCCTGCGGGGAGAGCCAGGCCCACACGCTGGACTGCATCCCCCAGAGAGAGGGGGTCGTGGCGTCCCAAGCCCCCCGCCCCGTGAACGTGTGACCTTCTTTGGAAAGACAGTGCTTACAGATGAAGTCAAGTTCGGAGGTGGTCAGAATGGATTAGGGTGGGCCCTGAACCCAATCACCGCTGTCCTTATAAGGAAAGGGAAACTGAGGGAGTTCCCTGGTGGGAACTCAGCGCTCTCACTGTCGAGGGCCCGGGTTCGATTCCATGTCAGGGAACTAAGATCCCACATCCCACAAGCCGCACCGAGACATGGCCCAACAAAAAAGAAGAAAAAATTTTTTAAATAAATAATTAAAAAATAAAAATTAGGACTTCCCTGGTGGCGCAGTGGTTAAGGATCTGCCTGCCAATTCAGGGGACACGGGTTCGAGCCCTGGTCTGGGAAGATCCCACATGCCGCAGAGTAACTAAGCCCGTGTGCCACAACTACTGAGCCTGCGCTCTAGAGCCTGCAAGCCACTACTGAAGCCTGCGTGCCACAACTACTGAAGCCCGCGCACCTAGAGCTCGTGCTCCGCAACAAGGGAAGCCGCCGCAATGAGAAGCCCACACACCACAACGAAGGGTAGCCCCCGCTCGCCGCAACTAGAGAAAGCCCGTGCGCAGCAACGAAGACCCAACGCAGCCAAAAATAAATAAATAAATTTATTTTTTTTAATAATAAATAAATAAAATAAAAATTAAGACTAAAAAAAAAAGAAAACAGACACACTAGGGGACAGGGCCCCATGAAGACTGAGGCAGGGGTTGGAGTGTCACATCTACAAGCCAAGGGACACCAAGGAAGAACGCTCCCCTGGAGGTTCCAGATGGAGGATGGCCCCGAGACACCTTGACTTTGGACTCTGGGCCTCCAGAATTAGGCAAGAATAAATTCCTGTTGTTCTAAACCACCCAGTGTGCAGTGTTTTGGTACTAGAGCCACAGGACACTAACACGATGTGGGGGAAGACATCACCCAGGAGAAAGCAGGTGGCACATAAACGCGGGCTGGGCCGCAGGCCTGTCCCGACACGGGGCACAGCGGCCTGGGGTCGGTGGACCGGAGGTCAGCTCAGCATCTGATGCAACGCCGCCACCTTCCTCAGGTGAGCAAGAAAGAGAGCTGCCACTGCACAGCTGTTCTCCCGTGCAGATGGCAGTTGTTAAAGAATGGATTTCTTAAGAGTTTTAAGTCCAGACTTTTATCACTGCTCACGAGCAGTTCCTCACACTGTTAAATCTCCTCCGAAAGTGAGATTTTTTTTTTTCTTGGCTGCACCATGTGGCACGCAGGATCTTAGTTCCCCAACCAGGGATCGAACCCGTGCCCCCTGCAGTGGAAGGAAGCACGGAGTCTTAACAGCTGGATCACCAGAGAAGTCCCCAAAATGAGATTTTTTAAATGTCTAGTGAAATTTAAATATTCTACTAGACTAATACATGCACGAAAAGGAACCCTTCCCTCTTTTTTAAAATAAGATATTTAGGCAAAGAGCTTTCTGGAAAGAAATACCAATTTGTATTTCTACCAACAGTGGAACGCTAGTCTATGCCTTGGCATTTCTCAACACTGGAGAATTTGGGGCCAACTTTACAGGGTAAATAAATAGTATCTCATCATTACTTCAATGTGTATTTCTTTGATCACTAAAGGTGAACAAATTTTCATGGCCACTGTAGATCTGTGTTACTTGGCAGGATGATTTGCATGCCCTTTGCTTTTTTCTGTTAGTTTTTCTTATTGATTTGCAACACAGCTCTTTACATATAAGGGCATAACCATCATCAGGTGTCATGTTTGTGGCAGACTTTTCCTCCAAGAGTCACCTGCCTTTTCATTGTACTTATGGGTTTTATAGGTGTAATTTATAATACTTAGGTCATCAAATCTCTGTCTTTTCCTTTGGGCTCTGTGATGCTGTTTATGCTTTATCCCATCCTGTAATCGAGGCTCAACAAACTCCTGCCCACCTCATGGTGTTGCTGATAAACTTCTACTGGAACAGAGCTGTCCACACTCTTTTACATGTGCTCTGTGGCTGCTCACGTGCTATGACAGCAGAGTTGAGTGGTTGCCACAGAGACTATGCGGCCCACAAAGCCAAATACGTTTATTATCTGGCCTTTTGGGGGAAAAGTTTGCTTCAGTGCATCTGACTGACTCACAGGTGGACAGAGTAGGGAAAAGATGGACATTCGTGGTCCCTACGTTCCATCACACTCTTAATGGGAATCTAACTTCCTGCACATGAAAGCCCCAGATGGGACCCATCCCCTCCCCTGTGAAGCCACCAGAGGACAAGGCAGACAGACATGTGCTGGTGAAGAAATAGGCACACTCGATTCTGCAAACCTGTTGGTATTGGTGAGTTTCTGATCACAAGACTGCTCTGCAGTCCGCTTGTTACCGGAAAGGTCTCGTCCACCGCTACCTGTGTACGTGAACGAGTTCCCGTGGTCCTGAAACAGATACGAAGGGCAGGCTGAACCCTCTGCGCAGAGAAGAGGAGAGACCCACTCAAAACAAACCCACAGGGGCTTCCCTGGTGGCGCAGTGGTTGAGAGTCCGCCTGCCGACGCAAGGAGGCGGGTTCGTGCCCCGGTCCGGGAGGATCCCGCA